TCGCCTTTCTGCTTTGTAATGAAATATAATAAAATGTATTCCATTTGTTTATTTTATTTGACAGGAAGTAGGAATTTGGACACAGTCTTTAAATTTGTGACACAATGGTTTAAAAAAAAGACTAAAGAATTACCTTCAAGTTGACCAACTACAACAGTAAAATGCTGCTTACACATGCAGAGACGTGAAATCACCAAAAACTCTTCCAACTTTGCCAAAGAAAAGAGGTGTCTTACTAGGACCCACATACGTAGCTTATTGACAATACATGGTTGATGTAATCTTGTTAAAACTACAATGACTGAACTTTATTCTCCCCTCTAGGTGTGTTTGTGTTTTCTCCTTCCTCTACAAACGTGACCGTGATGTTCCCAAGTGGAGCCGGGGTGGAAGTGCGACTGAGAGAGGGAACCATGACCGCCACCGTGCTCCTGCCGGAGGAGTTCAAAGACTCCACTCTCGGACTGCTCGGAAAGATGAACGGTGACGCCAAAGACGACCTCGCTCTCAGCAACGGAGAACTTGTGAGCAACCTCACCAATCCAGAGGAGGTGTTCAGCTTCGGGGCAAGCTGTAAGAAATGATTCACAACGCAGGCTAGGTTGTGCCGTTCAAAATTCAGTTGGTGTTTATCACTGTTGTGAACTTTATTTTATGTATGAGCTGTATACTGTATGTTATATATACAACAAAACCAGTGTACATTATTTTGGATAATAGAAAGGAAGAATTAAACACAGGTCACCAAAGTTAAAGTTAATCCTTTCGCCAAACCATTTCTATGTCACACTGCTTCCTGTTTTGGGTCATGTACCCCTTCATGTTACTCTTTCATGTTGGGAAAACACATTTCTCTTGTTGTGTTTTCGTGCATCGATCAGGCATTTGCGTTCCAGGAAACCCCTCTCATTTTATGCAACATCAGCAGATAATGTTGCAAAGGTTTCACTTAAATTTAAATTCTTTTTTTCTTTCTTTTTGTCTTACAGGGGCCATCTCCAACCGGTCTGCCTTGTTCACATATGATTCAGAACATCTTTTGAACACCTATTATTATGCTCCCAGACATGACCATACATTTGTTCCAGTGTTTTCTGTCCCCGAGAGTCCAGATGATCCATTAGCCAATCAGACACATGAGATATGCACTGGAGAGGGCGCTCAGTACTGTAGGTATGAGAAGAAAACTTGTATCTACTTTTACTCATTATAATAGTTTCATTAATTTAATACTTTTTACGTTTTTAGAAAACACACAAGTATTAAGCTAGTTCTCTTAAAGGGCCATTCCGCCAATTTTACACATGAAGTTTAGTTTACTCATCATGAGGACCACTCAGCTTGGGAAAATAATTACATAATGTCTTCTGTGGCTCTTAAGGGAGCTTTCTTTTTAGACTTTGACCAATACGGGGCCTAAAAGTAATGACATCTCAACTTCTGATGATTTTTTTTTCTATATGTAATGTAAATGTTCGTCATTGCCATTTCACAGAAATCATTTTCTTATTTAAAGCAACTCATGTTCTGATCAGTACCTCTGTCCTGTAGGTATGATATCCTGGTAGGTCGTAGTCCAAGAATGGGAAATGCGACCAAAGTGTCTTTCCAGAGTCACATTTCTCTTGTGGAGGATCTAAAGCAAGGTGAGAGTATAAAAACACATGATGAAAATAATCATCATTATGTACATTTACTTATGTTAGGTATTGTTACACTGTGCAGTGATATCCTGTGGATGGCTTTCACCACCTAACAATGGGAAGAAGGAGGGGACCACATATTTACAGGGCGCTAAGGTGCAGCTTTCCTGCGATGACGGCTACACTCTCAAAGGATCTGCAGAGCGAATATGCCAGGAGAACAGCCAGTGGTCTGGAGAAGACACAAACTGCGTGGTTCCCAGTATGAATAAATAATGAAATCAGGCCTGTCCGATGATTCTGATCTTCACAAATCAACAGTGGCAAATGTGTGAGTGTCTGTATTTTAGCATGCACATGTGTGTGTGTGTGTGTGTGTCCTTGTGTGCGTCATTTGATCCATCAAATCAGCAAAATATTAAATCTTTCTCATGACCTTTTTACACACATATTTATGAGTGAGAATAACTTCTCACCATTGACTCACTCTAATAATAATGCACGCATCAAATTAGAGCTACAAAGAATTTAACAATGCTTCCTTCTGTGGGCAGTGGACCCTGTGTGAACATCACTTTTTGACAAACACATGATGACATATTGAGCTGGCCATTTATCCCAGTCCTATACGAGAAACATACAGCTTCACAGAAAAATGGAGGAAAGCTCTTGGATGTATTTTTTTCCATTTGATGGCACTCTTCCTTTTTTCTGTGTATTATCATTGACCTGTTTGAGGGGCCTTTTCTGCTACTTCTTGTGGATTCCAGAAAACAAACGTCTGCAACTCTCAAGTGACTGATTATACCCACCAACAGCAATTCGTCCAGTAGATCAGTCTGGACCAAAGTGGTGAACCGACCGAGCAACAGACATTTCCATACCTAGAACCAGGCCTCTAGTGTGACTATAAATGACAAACATAGTTTAAGATACCTGCATATAGCTGGGGAGTAGATTGTAACATAATCACAAATTACAAGGATGAACTTTCACCCTGCCTGGTTCCTCTCGATTGAAACAAATACATGCAATCAAAGGCTAAATATAGGTTAAAAATCAATAAAGTCTGTTCATTCAATCATAAGAAATGTTCAGTATATTCAGCAGCAACAACAACAACAAAATATACTTTATATAAGAGACAGAAATACATGAGTTATCCAATGTGTGCCACTAAATCGGACAAGAAAAATAAATCCTAGTTAATACACAAACATGAACCTTTAAGTGTAAACAGAGCAATGAAAAAGTCTGGTTGGTTGGGAGCTTTGCTGCATCTACTCTCTCTTCCTGTCTGAATCAATGCAGTTATAGTAGTAAAATCACACAAACTATGTTAATACTGATTGTGCTTGAGCCTCTGGTTAAAAACAACAACATCTTTGTCATCGTCTAGGTAATCTCGCAGGAATTGTGGCCGGTTCAGTGATTGGAGCGGTAGCACTGATTGTAATTATAACAACACTCGTACTCCACTCCAGGAAACAGAAAAGGTACAGTATCTTCAGTTGATGTATCATTAATCTACAACATAACATTTCTAAAAGTCATTATCCTCACAACACTTGATAAGGAAAAAGTGTGACAGAGGCTTCATATTGTAGTTTCCTGCGTCTTCACTGTTTTTATTTGTGTTTCTTTTTTCTCCAGAAGAGCTGCACGTTTAGGAGAAGTTGTGACAAGTGAGGCATTCTAACCACAACTGTTCATCCACTGAAGAAAGTTAGAAGTGAATGCATGCATAAATACATGCTTCCATCAGATACAGACACATAATTCAAAAGAGATATAGCCTATCCTTGTAAAACCACAGTCATGTTCCAGATTAAAATATATTATGAGGTTGAGCAAAGGTCACTTCACGGTTAAAGAGCAACAACACACTACATCTTTTACACACAGCAGAAAGGTATTATTGCACTGATACCTATAGGCTGACATTTTAACACGTGTTGCAAATTTTTCAAACCACATCCACCATAAACGCAAAGCATTCTGGGCTATAAAACTACAGGTTTATTGTAAAGTGGAAACACATTTTATGAATAAAAGCTTGTAAGATCATTTGCTTCAGACTCAGTCATCAAGTTGGACGATCTATTTATGAATGATGGGCCGAAACCAATAACTTACAGTTAGTCTGTTCAATAAGCTAACGATAATTGATTGGTGAACCATTAATGATGCAACCTGCTACCGTCTAAACATTGTAGTTAAAGTGTTTGAGCTACTGAAGGAAGTCCTTGGTCAGCTCTTCAGATCACCTGTATATTTAGGCTAACAGACAAACTATGAGACTAAATGAACTCTGCACTGCGTACTTATATTTGTGTTCTGTCATCAAATATTAATGAATGTTGTTTTATCGGTTACAGTTTTCAAGTTGGACAATAAAGTTTTTCAAATACAGTGTATTCTGTGGCTTCAATTCAAAATGAATGTGAATTATTATTTTCTTATTTTACAATGCGTTCTGCCAAACTACAGACAGAACACAATGGGCCTCATGCACCAAACGACACAGGAACAAATGTCCTCGTATTTTTGTTTGTATGCACGAGTATGCATGTGTTGTCTCATAATAAATGGCGGTCACCAAACTTTTCTACAGTATACCTTTACTTCAAGAAATGTGGAATAACTTCTGGGAATGCGAACCCATTATCCATCAGCCTCTGTGATTACCTTATGCTGCTTTAGCTCTGGAAATGTAAGGTATATTGTCTTATTTACTCAGTCTCAGTTTGGTCTGCAGACGACATGCTCGACTTTGTGGAGCCCTGAAGCTCTGCCCCCTGATATAGTTAATACTTTGGACTGATGCTTTGGGTGAGTGCAGATGGAAAGGCAACAGATATTGCCTCATTAATAAATACCATTCCTCTCTGATGGCAAATGGCTTGATTTATTCCTCTGAAGCTCAGTTAATTATTTATACAACATGACACCCATGAAGACGTAGCTCTAGATGCAAAATTCCTCACCACCACTCGACTGCGTCAGTGCCCATCACTTTGTCCTGAACGTAAACACACCCTTTATAGTTGTAATTTTCCTTACATACTCATCACATGATTTTGTTTATTCCGGCTTGAGTTGTTTTTCTTAAATCTTGTGTTGAGAAACTGGAAGTTACCCTGTTGTTTACCGTGTGACTCTGCTCGTATGTGCTGTTCCCTCACATAACACTAGGCTGTGAGTTATATGGACAAAGAGCACCAGTATGTGACAAGACTGCAGAGGCCACAGCTGAATAAACTGTCTGCTTGCTGCTTTCAGAGTCATTTGCCAACAACTTGCCACAGACACTCCAGAGATATAAATAAAGAATAGTTAAGCATTATCCTCTCCAGGTCCCGGGGCAACAGAGGAGTAACACACTAGCTCATGACATACCGAGTCATTCTCGTCCCTTAGATCACACGTGATGCTGGACAAGTGTTAGAATGACTCCGCTGGGTATATATGTGTGTGAGTAGAGCAGTACAGATGCCAACGCAGTCTTTTTCTCAGACCTCTAGCTCACTTTCTGTTGAGAACAGAAATACAGCTGCCCATTGTTGAGTGCTCAGGTCATCAATCTAGACTTGTTTGTTAGGGTGGAGCTTCAGGCTTTTGCAGTTTCAACATCCTTTCCCTTCATTCGGACCTTATTTCCTAAGATATGGAGGAACAAAATAAAATATTATCCCGTCCCATTTTCCGCCGAGATGTGAGCTGGGATCCTTTCCCAAACTGGACGCAGCCGAGTCGAATCTTCACGCAGGACTTTGGCCTTCCTCCTTTCCTGGACCCTGGTGATCTGGACTGGATTGACTGGTCCAAGAAGAGACTGGCATCTTTCTCCTGGCCCGGGTACGCACAAACTCCCCTTCTGCCTCCATTCAGTGGCCAGCACCATGCGGCGTTGAACCAAAAGGGCCCGAGAGAACTAGCAAGTGGAGTGTCAGAGATCCAAACAGGGCAGGACAGCTGGAAGATCAACCTGGACGTCAATCACTTCTCGCCTGAGGAAATTACAATCACAACCAAGGAGGGTTATTTGCAAATATCAGGTACACTGCACATGATTCTCTGATTTTTGAGATGTGACAAAAAAAAAAGTATACCGTGCCTGATCTTTAACATTCTGTTCTTGACACATTTAAAAAAAATGATTTTTTCATTACAAGGAAATCATGAAGAAAAGCAGGATGAACATGGATCTGTTTCAAGGTGCTTCACCCGGAAATACAAGTAAGTTGTCACTGAGAATGTGAGGAATTTTGAAAAAAATAATCTTCCTGTGGTTCAATGTGATAACTGTGTGTATTGTATGATGACACATATATAAGGCAAGAGGTCAACATAAACAAAACTCCTCTTCTCTTCAAGGCTGCCAAAGGGAGTGGACTCGCAACACATCAGCTCTTCGCTGTCCGGTGATGGAGTTCTGTCCGTAGAGGCCCCCGCTCCAGGGACATCCATCAGCAACCCACCCAATGAGGTTGTGATACCAGTTCAGATCAAACAGACGCAGGACGGTGAAAAGTGAAACCAGTAAGCAAGAATTTGAAACGACAATCGGATGTTGCCCAGGTTGCGTATAGCAACTTTTGCAGCACTGGCATGAAAGAAGGCAGAACTAGTCTGTTGTAGTGTTTTCCTGCTATAAACCACTGATATTGCAATGTCAACGGTACAATATCATTACGTTTGGTTTCACAATTAAATGCAAACTCATCAATATAATACAGAATCAACTCTGAAAATAAGGAATTATTTTCGTTTGTCATCGCTTATAAATGGATTAGCATGACCGTGTAGTCCTAACAACATACCATCATGTTTTCATGCTCTTATAATATCTGAATTATATGAAAAAATACAAGCTAGGAGTTGTAGGACAATTAACTATTTATATCCAAACAGCTTATTTACTTTATAACAAAAAGGTCACGTTGTGCTTCTGTGTAACATGGCAAGATAATTAATAATTGATTTGGTTTGATTTTATTTTGCTTGTGAAGAAAAGAAACATTGCAAAAAGCTGTAACATAGATTCATTTTGTGTGCTTGTCCTGAAAGTTGTACATTGATGTATTGATTAACCAGCCTAATAAAGCTGTCCGAATATATCTGCCAAAAATGTATTAAACAGCTTCTGCCATATAAATAAAACATTTTAATTGTATCCTTTAGTGTTCTTTATGAGTGATGCATTTATTAGCAGATTATAGGATTTATACAAACCTGTATTGATTATTCATCCATTGCTCGATTTCTGATGGCTTTCCATAACATTATTATCAAATGGTCCACAAGAGGGCACTGAAGTGTATACTTTAGTATTTCAGTTGATTTGATTTATTAAGGTAGAGCTTCATCAAGTTTCTCCCAAAGAATATCTAGATCCTACAAATGAGCTGTTTTAAGTTTATTCCACCAAATTAATGCATTTTGAATTCACTGTATTCAATTGTGGTCTTCTACAAGCCACGTGATGGCAAACTTTAAAACAAATGCACAGCAGCCTGGAGCTGGATGAAATGAAGGTGTTTTATAACTGAGAAATGACACATTCATGTAACATTAAAGGGCATTAGAGGCTAAAATGTTCAAGAGTAGAAGTCAGGGGCTCGGCTGATCTGATGATGGCCACTCAAAAGTAAACAGTGACATCTACTGCTTGATCCAGGTATTACATGTTGACGTATCAGGGGTTACTATATTTGACCAGAATGTCAACACATGGATTATTGTAATGTTGGAAATACTGAGACAGTTACAGTGAAAAAAATGGGGGATTTTGTTTAAAATTGTGATTCAGCCAGTGGTTGGCTGATATGGAAATACTGAAGTATTTCCACTGAAATACTGAAGGAATCACTTAACAGCAATTTGATGATGTGACAAACAGTGGTTCAATGGAATTTGAGTATACAATAAAGGATGTGGTGTTACCAAATACATTGTTCACAGTAATCTTTTACTGTGTTCATTTTCATATTGCATCTGAACCTATCCTTTTTGAGAAATTCAAGCATGCAGTGGTGAAATGTCTCTGCTCTTGCTTTGAGTTTTTCTTGATCCAGATTGAAGCCAGCAGGGTGGGAAAACAATCACTTCAAATTGATTTGGGATTAAAGTTTTTGCAAATCAAAAGTTATTTTTCCTTCTTTCATTCCTGCCCACACAGTGGAAAATGTACCTAAATTGATAATGTGTCAGTTTAGATACAGAGGAGCTTAACAGATCTTGAAATTGTCCCAGACAATTAGGTTAGTTTTGGCCAACAGACTCTTAACATGCATTTACACATCCATTAGAGTGCAACCCATTGAGTCCCCCTCTGCTGCAGCCCCATCACCAATGTTCATAGAACCTGTGATCCTTCATCCATCCATCGTCAACCTCACAGTTATTAACAGGGGAAAAAGCATGCAGGACCACCACTGTCCGGACCAAAGCCAAAAATAAGTCAAAGGTTTTTCGTTGTTTTGTTTTTGTTTAAACTGAAAGTGGATCAGTAAAATGTACAGTACGGTCAGTTTTAATGTGTGCATAACACCCGTTGATCTTTGATAAGATTTATGCATAGGTTAATGCCAACATTGAATATTGTGTTTACAAACAATAAGTGGAACTTCCTGCATACTATGCCGTTAAGTGAAAGTGTGTAAAATATGTAATTTAATGCTTGAATATCATTCAGCACAAAGATTCATCCAGGAGGAACCCTTGTTCCTGCTCACACACTCACATGGAACATAGACCCACAGCGGCACAAACTAGCAAACATTTCTCAAGAAAATGTAAGCATATACCTTCCGCCTGAGGAAAATTGTTCTGATCAAGATTTTATCGAGGTCTTGCTATACTTTAGGTGGTTGCTTGGTATGGCGTCTAGAGTGCTGCTAGATCTGTTCGCTGTGTTTGGATAAGTTGCTACAGTATACCCTAACCCTAACCCTGTCACTAGCTGGTTGCGTAGGTGTTCTGCAGGGTTAGGGTTGCATGTGATTGCTAAGTATTGCAGGTGGTAACTGGGAGTACTGCATGTGTGCTACGGTGTACTTTGTGTTTGCGGTCATAGTGCTAGTCGTGCATAGTTCTAGTGCTAGAAGTAGTGCTAGTCTGGCAGCAGTGATGGCGACACTTGTGATTTAGCGAAGTATATTCATTACCATGTCGAGAGACGCAACATCTAAATGTTTGTCTCTGTCGCCCTCGAGCGGCCACACAAAGTAACGACAGAAATAATACGAGTGGCAATTATAAAATATATTAGGCTCTTTGCGTCATTAGTTCACCAAAAATACAAGTAATGTTCATAAATGAAAATATGGGTCTCACTGGTGAAAAGAAGAGGAGCGTTGAAAAAAATGTATCATAAAGAAGGCTAATTTGTATTATTTTGTGAGTGTATTTCACCCATGCAAAGAGCCATTCACAGGTTGGTATCATAAAGCTTTTCTATTTTAAATATTTAAATATTATAGTACTGAAGGATTTCAAAAAGGAGTGGATTTTCTGAAAATGCACAATAATAATAATATCTTATGGATGCTATTTAAAAAAAAAACGAAATACTGAATTACATTTAAGCTATCTATATAAGTGAACATTTGTCTTATCATATTGGTTTTTATTTCTAAAAATATATCTTGTGATAGAGCCTGCTGTGAATTAACTTTAGGCTGCTTGGCTGTAGTATTGCGGTGTCTCTTTAAAGGAAGGGGGAGTGTAGAAGAGGGACAGAGGAAAGAGATGAATAGAAGGCACCAGAACCACCTACCATGACCAAGTGCGCTGTAAATGTAGGACAGAAATTCGAGTGGAATACAAACGGATCATCAAGCGACATATTCGAGGGAAAACCATGTTTGGATGTGCCTTATCTGACTCCAATCTTTTTAAATATGGTACCACATGCGATCATTGGAACACAGGAAAAGTATTTTTCCTCCCAAACATTTCTTGCATTTTGAAACGGAAAAGACGAGTGGCAGTAAAATACATCCCTGTGCTATCTTTCTCCGAGTGTCAATGGTAGGCATTGCATAATTCAACCTTATCCACCGGAGCCATTTGGTTCCTTCTCTTTGAGGAGAGGGGGACGCCAGAAAAAAAAAAAAAAAACCCGACTACATCCAGTAGCTGCCTTCTCGGTGGTGCCTGCAATTGTTTAGCAATGCCCTTTTCTCTCGTAGGAAGAACTTGCAGACAGTAGCGGGGGAACAAGCAGGGGAAGGATGCATTTAAAGCTGGATGTGTGCTGCATTCAGGGAGATTCGGCAATAATCGCAGCTCTAGCAGAAACAGCGAGTGCGGAGGGCCTGGGAAGCACCCAGCCCCACTATCTCCTCCTTTTCCTCCCCCCCTGCAGGACCATGCTTGCGTGAGGGATGAGGCTGTGCACAGGGACACCAGGCCAGAGCTGCGGCCTACTTCTCACAAGAGCCGGTCTCTCGACTGCAAGATCTGTGAACACATTGCCACCATCAAATCAGCATCTTTGGTACGCAGCTCCCTCTCTCTCTCTCCCTCTCTCCCTCTCTCCCTCTCTCACTCTCTCTCCCTCTCCGTTTGCATGAAAAAAAAAAAACCCGCTGGTGCTCGCGCGTGTGTTAGTGTATGTGTGCGTGTATGCGTGCTGGCGGCGGGAGGGGAGGAGAGGGGGGGGGGGGTCTGTGTTCTCAGCTGTACATCTGTAGTCATGGCAACCAGATCCTGTTAATGGATGTCATATTTTCCATCCTCAGCTTCCCTCTCTGCCTCTGCTTTTATGTGTGTGCATTGCATTTACATGTATTCCATTTAAATCTCTGCCCCGATGCCTATTACCAGAGAGATTGAGTTTTTGTCAGATTGGTGCATTTAAACATCTTCTCTCATGCCTGTCTCAAATAGTCATTTTACAGAATGAGCCTAACGGTGGTTTTATATGTTATAAATGTTACGTTTGGAGCTTCGATGATTGGTGGTTTCATTCATGTTGCTTTCTAGTGTTAAGAGTTGACTCTAATCAAGAGTATGAATGGGATTAAACAGCAGAGCCTCTGTATATTGATGAACTTCAGCTCTTTTGTGTGACACTGATGCTGAAAGACATTGATACTGTCAACCCTAAAGGATTGTCAGATGTCTGTATTAACCCTTGCTAACTTCTTGGGTTATCGTGGATGTGTAGTAATCTGCAAACTGTTTACTTTCCAGTTTGCAGAATTGTTGTTTTGCACTACACTGTGGTCTGTTTGTAGGCCATGGCCTCTGACTTACCAGCTGTCTGTCTTCCTTTATTCCGCCTGATTTCACCACGGCAGTTTCTTCTCTCTGCCCGCTCTGTTTCTTTTACTTCCTGCTTCCTGTGTTCCTCTGTCTAGGTCATCAGGTAGATCCAGGAGCATGAGCAGGACTTTGAGCTGCGGGAGCAGATGTCTGGGTATAAGCGCATGCGGCGGCAGCACCAGAAGCAGCTGATCGCCCTGGAGAACAGGCTAAAGGCCGAGATGGATGAGCATAGGCTCCGGTTGCAGAAGGAATTAGAGACACATGCGAACAACACTTACATTGAGCTGGAAAGACTGGCCAAACGCCACTCTGCTCAAACAGACAAAGAGGTAAAGCCTTAACAGCAAGCTCTAACGAATGATGAGAGATTTAATTCACTTCATAACAAACGTGTGTCTGTAAAGGCATTTCTGACAGTTAAGAGATCATTAAAGGGTGTTAATTTAAATACTTGAATGTCTGTTCACAGATGAAGTCAGTTGCAGCTGAAGAGAGGAGGATCCAGCAACAGATTGTTGCTCAGCAAAAAAGAGAGCTGACTACTTTCTTAGAGAATCAGAAAAAGGAGTACAGGCTTTGCAAAGACAAGATCAAAGAAGTAAATATCACAAACAAATACAAAGCAAAGTTTATTGTCTCACACATTATATCATTTCAACATGCAACACATTTTCGTTTATTGGTGTTACAGGAGATGAGCGAAGACCCTGGTACACCCAAGGAGGAGAAGCAGGAGCGTCTGTCCAGGCACAAAGAAACAATACAGCGCTCTCAGGCGGAGGAGGAAGCTCATCTGTTGGCCCAGCAGAGGCTGGTCTACGACCGGAGCTGCAGGGCCCTCAAACGCCGGAGTCTGGTCAGGAAGCACGAGTTTGAACAGGAGCAACTGAGAGAGGTAATGTGCTCTACTGACATCACATAACAAACTGTGATCAGACTGTGCAGACAAGCTCAAGATGAAATACCACGATTTAGGATACGACTTTTGGTGTTTTCAGAAGATGTTTGGACATTTTGTGAAATAATCTCTGTCGGTGACAGAAAAAGGGGTTTCTTTATGGATGAGGTGTCATTGATTGAAATACCCAGGATAAGGCTACAGCTAATTGTTTTCATTATGAATCATTTGTTGATTATTGTTTGATTACTTATGCACCATAAGTGATTTCTTCAAACTACTTTGACTAACTTTCCAAATATCCAGTGATATTCAATTTACATTTTTTATGACATGAAACAGGAAAAAAAAGCAAATCCTCACATTGGGAACCTGAAACCAACAACGATTTGGGATTATTTTGCAAAGCTACATTTCCACAGTAGGAAAGGGTGCTAACAATGCGGTGAACATCAGAGCAACCCACAATATGCAGATTAAAATGGCTTTTCAGTTTTGTCTTTAGAAATTGTATTTTCTAACGCTTCAAACTGTCCACTGACAACAAGAATGCAGATTTCTTGAACAACTTCTTTGGGAAATCGTTACTTATTTTAAGTTGTATCAAAGAAGACACTATCTCTATGAAATGAAATATCAGCTAAAAGAAGAGGACCTAAAGTTGAATTTGCGCATGTTGTCATTAAAAAATGACATTACATCAAACTTGTTGTCCCAGGAGCTGAACAAAAAGAGGACCCAGAAGGAGATGGAACATGCCTTGATGATCCGGCAGGACGAGTCCACCCAGGACATGGAGCTCAGGCAGCTGCAGATGCTGCAGAAGCTGCGCATTGAACTCATGCGGCTGCAGCACCAGACAGAGCTGGAAAACCAGGAGGAGTACAACGGCCGGCGGCAGAGAGAACTACACAGGAAACACACTCTGGAGCAGCGGCAGCAGCCCAGAAACCTCAAGGTGCCTGGGACTTTCCCTTTCCAACTATGTGGTTATTTCGTGAGTTGACACCCAGAAAACTTCCTGAGGTTTTAAAAGTTTGTTTACAAAAGGGACGAGACATGTTTCGACAGGAAGATTGCATCGTGGGTTTGATATGAAAGCTCTGCAGGTACTGTACATCTGTCCCCTCTGCTGTTCTCCACCTCTTACTTTTGATTTGTCTAAAATGTACCTTGTATTCATCGCAAATATGTCGAAAAGACCCTTTAGAATGTTGCCATGACAACTGCTTCTTCCAAAAACATTTCTGATATCTTTCACAAATTTAAATCTTCTCTCCCACCGTAGTCTATTTTTTGTTTTTGTTTTAGCTACAGTGTTGAGCAGTGAAAGCTCACTTTCTGTATTCAAACTAAAATGTTCAATGTCACTGCAAGAAATAAATAAATCTGTTGACTTCATTTTTTTCCAATTAAAAATGATTAACGTGACATTGGCAGGTGAAATGAAATGCATGCAAGTTGTTTGGTTGTGAGTCAAATTAAGAGAGATATTGCAAGAGAGTCATATAGCCAACTGTTTAATTTTTTTATCGTCAAGTAGAATTTTTTTTTTTTTGCCTCAACGTTAAAGTCACAATGAACCAGTAACAACACTTACCTGTGCTTCTATGCCTTTTTGTTTGTCTTTCTCTTTCAACCTTCTGGAGATGCTGGAGATGCAGATCAAGAAACAGTTCCAGGATACCTGCAAGGTGCAGAACAAGCAGTACAAAGCTCTTAGGAACCATCAGCTGGAGGTCTCTCCCAAAGGCGACCATAAGATTATCCTGAGGAGCCTAAAAGAGGAGCAGACACGCAAGCTGGCCATACTGGCTGAGCAGTACGAGCACAGCATCAACGAGATGATGGCCTCACAAGCGGTACGAGGATCCTGAGGCATCTTGTCATGAATAGCAGAAGTGGGCCTCATTCATCCTTTGTATGTTGTATATTTATTTGTAGAAGACATTTTGCTCTTCACTTCAGACTAATAACGGTCACAACTATGTGCATCGGCTATTTGCAACCTCATCGCGCATATTTGAATTTTTAGAGCCCCAACATATTTGGCCTGTGGTTTGACAAACGAGGCCCAACCTATGCTTGTTGTTAATGTGTTTGTAACTACCTCTGTCTCGCTGGGTCTGTAGATGAGATTAGACGCAGAGCAGGAAATGGAGTGCCAGGCCCTGAAGCAGCAGCTGAAGCAAGAGATGGAGCTCCTGGACGCCTACCAGAGAAAAACCAAGTCACAGATGGAGACCCAACACGAGCGAGAGCAGCAGAAACTTGAGCAGAAGGTCTCCATACGCAGAGCGCACCTTGAACAGAAGGTAGGTTTCAGATCGAATCCTTTTTAAAATACTCTGAATTAATAGAGCATGACACCATTCTGTATGAAGGAATGACCCCTAGGTAGATAAATGTCCAGAGAGAGACACCTGTTGAGAGCTGCAGCTTTGTTGGGAATCTTTTACAAATGGGTGCACTGATAGTGACCACAAACACAAATGTGTTGAGTGGTTCAGTTACCTGGAAATGCAGGTTTGCAGCTGGGAAGGAAGTGGGGGGTTTCCCCTCCAACTCCTTATGGTTGGTTGGGATTGCACAGTTGGGGGTGATGTGTCACTTTGTCCTACTGGTGAAGCTCATTGCTGGCAGGTGAATAGAAGCGGCAGGTGACTCTAGAGCTCTGCAGCTTTCCTCAGGTCAACAGTCGAGTAAGTAAAAAGGGCTGCAATGCAGCTAAAGTAAATTGTTTGAAATAAATTGTTTGTTGTAAAAACTTTGCACATGGGGTGGTGCTCGAGGACAAGCCATGGGGTCGTTTAAAAGATTGCAGGCCTTTTAAACCTATTAGAATTTGTGTTATCTGCTTTGTTTACGTTGGCTTTACTTCTTCTTTGTTATGGAGTCCCACAGAACCCATCGCTGCTGTAAGATAGGAAAATCAAGTGTTTTCTTCAAATATTCTTAGCCATGCCGGGGATCGGGGCCTCGAGATGGCAGTGTTGATCGGTTGGTCCACCACTTTGGTCCAGACTGCAAAATTAATCAGCTATTGGATGGATTGTGATGAAATTTGCTTCACAATATATACATGTCTTCCTCAGGATAAGGGGGTCATCATCAGGTCAACATTTTACTTCTTCAACTGTAACTTTAACTTGTGCCTCAACTGTACATTGGGCTAATTAGCAAAAGTTAGCATGTTAAGATAAATTAAGATGTTGAACAAGGTAATCATTAAACCTGCTTAGCATCAGCATGTTACACTCATAGAAAGTTAAAACAAATGGTCCAACAGTGATCGTAGAGGAAAGTGTGTACAAAACGAAAAGGGTTCATCCAGTAGGGAGCATTAGCAAGTATACTGTACAGTACAGTAAGACCCAACCACAAACGAGTTTTAGTTCATTATCACATACTGAACACAAAGAAAATCCTCACATTTGAGAGGCTTGACTAGGTAATGTCTAGCTAATAATAGTTGCAGAATAATTTCATGCTGATTGACACTTTAACTGGTAGTTTCAGCTTTAATGTGGCCCTAAAGGAAAACCACCACTAACTCTAAGATGAATTCTTTAGGAAAGATCAATATACTAAATGTTCTGTCACTCTGGCTAATAACTGGGACGTCTTACTGTGAAAGTGTTGGAGTTACAGGGCAAACAACGAGGTTAAAGTTAGAGTCCATGTAACGAAATAACTACCATCATGTTTTTCGATTTCAGATTGAAGAGGAACTGGCTGCACTTCAGAAGGAACGCACCGAAAAGATCAAGCACTTGTTGGAGCGTCAGGACAGAGAAATTAACACTTTTGAGACAGAAAGTAGAAGCCTCGGCTTTGGAAGCCTGGAATCTCTGGACTTCCCCAAAGAAGACAACAGATGAAAGTGGATTTATCTTTAGAGGACAACATATCCGTGCCCTTTTTTTGCGTCCACTTGACAGTTTGTCACATCCACGGTGACAAAGCTGGATAGCTTTCTCTATTGCTTTTCTTCTCTCTTAGATATTGCATCTTTGAATCGAGGTGTTACGTGCAATGAGAACTTCTTTTGTGAATGGGGGGGGAAAGTGAAACAAAAGGAATCTACAACAACATGTCAATAAAAATCAAACCTAGTCAGTGTAACTCAAAACCTTGTGTGTTAAAAATAACAGACTCTTTCCTCCATGCCATTTCCTCCTTTTGGTATGAATTGAATAAATCAGGAAATTTTAGTAAAATTGGCACTTTGATATGTTTAAGTAGAAGCCCATCATGTTCGTATGATGCTTAATGTGTGTGTTACATGGAGGGACATTGTGGAATGTGAGCTGCGGACTCCCCCGCGGTGTTAAGCTGCTTTGTCTTTTTTTTTTATTGGTTTCATTTGATTTTGTTCTATTTTATTTTATGCTCTGAATGTGAATATTACTGTATGGGGTCACTGGAAAAGTCAGAGTTTATTCTTTTTTTTTTATTTTTGGTCATACTTCCATATTGTGCTTATGCATACAGTATACTGTGGTCCGCCACTTTTCTAGGCAACAGTTCTTACCCTTTCTTTTATTTGATATGTAGGGTCAATTGGCATTAGCTTGATCAATCTGTTTATCTTATCACAATTCAAGATCCCACTTGGTAAAACTGCTTATTATTGCATGCACTTTAAGGACAAATTCAGGTTGTGAAGTGAAGCATGAATCTGTCAGAGATTTTAGCTGTTTGTAAATAAAAGCATTTTTTTTTTTTGTTTTGTTTTAAGCCTATGGATACTGGACATAAGCGCCATATTTGATATGATAATTTCACAAATGCCTTTATTTAAGTTGTGCCTGATGATTTTAGTTCCGTGTTTGTTATATCTATATTTTATTTACTGAGGCCGGCACCATTTTGTTTTTTGGTTTCATCCAAACTTGTGAATCATTTAATGTTCACTAATCAAAGTTCTTGTAAAGGAAAATGGTGAGAATTGTGCTGTATAACTTTTGATATGAATATTTGTACATGAGAATATAGCTAGAACATACAGAGACACTGGTCTATTACTGATAACAGAGCTTAACGATACAGATTTTGCTTCGTTTTTTGTTTTATGATATAGAGATATGGTCAGACAATAGCTCAATATATGCTATGTCAAATCACTAGACTCTCAGATTGTATAAATGCTGGTGGATGGAACCACAGACTTCTTATAATATCAGTACCATGATCTTTAAGGGATCAATGGTTCTGCAAAAGCAAACACAACACGTGAGTCCAGATTGCATTTGAGTAATTAGTGTCTAATGATCAGATTTACATATTTTTTTTGCCATGTTCATTATGGTCATTGAACAGGTTGCACAATGTTTCCATTAATCCTGAATGGAAAGATAATTGTTTGGTGCTTAATTTCTAATGCCACCTTTAGCCTTGTAGTTTTTTGTCTTGGAGAGACGATTGATTTTTACAAAATGTAAACGTGAAGCATTTTGAAACCCCCTCTGAGTCAAAACACTACTAAGTTTTTTAAACACTCATGACATATTTAGAGTACCCCATGCAGTGAAATCCTCTAAAAATGAAGTATATGTATGAAAAAATAAATACTATTTTATCACAGGTCAGCTTTTGAAACATTGTTTAATGTGGTGGTCTTGAATGCAACCCCGTTATGTTTGGCAGGTAATTCTTCCCCTGTTTTTCTTTTCTTTTCTTTCCAGAGCCACAGCTTGTATTAATGTGTGGTCATGTTCCTCACAGGGCTGAAAGGTGGAAGACGCCCCCTGAATTATCAAAGTATTATAAATCGAGGAATATTATGACATTCTATTTCTGATGGCAATAGAACTTAAATGCTCTTGTTTTACACATAGAAACCTAAAATACGGAATTTGTTTGACCAGAGTGTGTTCTGAAGTTGAATGGCGCCTCCTGATTTTTCAGCTTTTTACATTTTCACAAACTTTCTGAAATTTGATGAAAACGTTTCTCATATGCAGTAAGGCCTTTTGTCTGGTCACATATAACTGAAGCCTTGCAGACAAATGGTTCCATAACGAAGTGCTATTGGGGTGCTTGAATAAGGTTTGCCTGAGCTTCAGAACAGTTATGAACCTTACAATTTGTGTGAATTCTAAGTTACTAGAAAGAAAGATGTATTTATTTAGAATAAAGGGGACTTTCCTAAACAACCTTATCACCATTTCCTGTGCAGTTCTAAGACAAAATAAAAGAGATTCTGTTGAAAAAAAGAGTCTCAATCAACATCCTGCATCTTATGACAGTGCATTTCTCATTGTTTGTGGTTGAATTTCCTTGTAATTCTCGCTTGTTTTGACGAGGACTTCTCACTTTTGATTTTCTTTGGTGTGATGTGACGGCTGTGACCTACATTACGTCAAATGCTGTTTATTGTAATTTACTGTAAATCTACAAACACACATGCATATCAAAGATAACTTGTGAAAACCAGAACCTTGAAATGGGAACAAGAGGTGAGAGGGAAGTTAGACTGCCGAGCGCCCAGTGTTTTAGGCTTCCTTACATTTCAGGGTAAACTTGCTTGATTTAGGGTGTTGATTTGGGGGCTTTTTTGGGCATGCCTCTAATGTAAACGCTGGCAGGAATGCGACTGTATAGTTTCCTTGAACTGTCGACATCTGCGGCACCATCTGCACAACCCTCTTTTATCCCCTGGGGCAACTGGAAAGCCCCGAGGATAGGCAGTAGAGTGGTTAGCCTTTACCTGCCGTAGTGCTGACAGTGTTGTGGTACGTCGAGTTCCCCCTGTCTTTTCTCAAGTAGTCAGTGGTTTGACAGAGTTGTGGCATCTAGTGTGCATGTCTGAAACAAAGACGATATCACCATCAGAAAAACATGGCAATCGGGTCAGCTCTTAGTGAGCCGTGTGCTGACCTCTCGTTAACCCTGCGATGCAGACAGCAGGCCAAACACATCATAGGGTGTCTCCAAGCAGAGGTGATCATCATTTGTGGTGGTGACAAAGATGAGATTAGACAAGACATGAAAAATCCAGTTTGTGTTATATTCACATTTGACATAATCCTCCTGGTCCCTCCTCACATACTGCTTAAACTAATCACTGGAGTGCCATCATATGTCACAATGATGTCATCCTCAGAAGCTTCAGAAGCTTGAACTTGTGATGTGATGACACTGACATCTTGCCTACTTTAGCTACGCAGACCCTCCCTCTTTACGCACTTGTAAAAGTTTCTGATTGAGAAATGCATTTCCTGTGACTTTGCCAGCTTCCTGCTTGAAAATATTGTTGCAAAAAGACAGCATGGTCCGAGGAGCAGTTGGCAATTGTTATGACACAATTCTACATCAAAATGAAGAGAAAGGTGGTGAAAACAGTTAATAAGAAAAGTTTATCACAGACTACTTTATAGGGATTATTCTCTATAAACTGTGTCAAAGTGTATGCTGACCTCAGTGTTTAAATCACTTTTACGCATGCCTGACATGGTTTTCTAAATTCAGCGATTTAAATATATCACATTTCTAGTATATTTTTCCATGCTCAAATAAAAAGGAAGTACCATTAAAAATACTCTGTGCTACACTACATGGTCACTAATAATAATAATAATAATTAGACAACGTCCCTACATGCCTGCTCTGTGACCAGACATGTAGGAACGTGGCCCATGTGTCTAATATAGAGGAAAGAGAAAAAAAAATGCACAACTGACATTCTGGGAAATTTGGTTGCCTCACAAAGTGCACGTCATTTCCTCCTGTGACAAATGTGTGGTTTCTGTCTTTTGAAAAAAAGTTTTAAAGGAGTGTGATTATGAGGAGTCCGTGCAATTCGCCTGTGATTCTGAGAGGAGAATGAATGGTCATGTAAAGAGTATGCCTTTTCAACAGTTTATGGAAAAAGCAACAAGTAAGTTTCATTACATCTACTTTTCTATTAGAATATTTTAAACAACCATTGCATCTTTCCTTAGCATTGTGCACGCTACAGTGGTTACTTTCAGTGTTGTGAAACTTACTGAAAGTGTGAGATTTAACTTTTTCACCGTTTTTGAACATAGTTTTTTTTAATGGAGTGAATTAGTTTTTAAATTGGCCAATATTTAAAGAGACTGACAATGTTTGTTGGCATCGAAAGATACTTTAACTACAGTATATGGTTCTATAAAATGTCTGAACCGGTAATATAGCAGACTTCTGGTGTCCTTTTTTTTCTTGCTGAATATATGCAAAGTGGAAAGTCTGTTGTAATCACCCCTGCCTTACACTTGTGGCTTTCGAATGAGGTTCCCCTCACCACTGGGATGTTGGATAACCTTAACTGACCAGTTCCTTTCTCCGCAGCGTTACTCTCTCTCCTGCTGGTTATGGCTGTTGATTCATCAAGAACTGTGGCAGCAAGCAGAAACCAGCAGTGTGGGAATTCTCTGCTGCAGACTTTGAAGCTAACCAGACTGGTACAGAAGGAATCTGTCGACCTAATCAAAACATATGTGAGTACAGACTTAAATGTGCTGTATCCTAATTTGCTGTGTTATATCCTCATCTGCTTGTTCAGTGCTCCGCCCTTTTACCTTCTTTTAGAACATAATATGCATGCTATTCATGGTCCTCCTGAAGACTTTGTGGCTTAATTAATATCTGATCTTTTTGTTTTGCAGAAAGCCTCTCAAGGAGAAATGCCAGAGCTCATCTGCAAGGTGTCCGTTAACAACGTCCCTGACCCCAACATCTCCGGCCTGGAGCCGTCAGAGAGGCTAATGAGCGTCTACACACATCTCCAAGACTTCTTCCCACATCTCAAACGGGTGTACGAGCAGCAGACAGACTTACAGTCACCCACGAGCCCGCTGCTGACGGACATCAGCCGTGTCAACGCTAGCAGCAGGAACCTGGCTGCTCTCATAAACGACTTCTATCAGTGCCTCTTCCCAAACCTGCCTGTACCAGAGCCAGCAGGAGGGCCGACAACACTACCTCCATCTCAGAACGTCTTCCAGCAGAAGGTCTACGGCTGTGTGGTCCTGAAGACCTACAAGGAGTTGCTGTCAAATGTTTCTGGAGAACTGAGGACTCTAAAAAGCAAAGTTTCCAGAAGGAGGATACAAATGAACACACTTTTCTGAGGATGACCTAAGGCTGGTCAGTTTTCAACAACATAATTAAAGACTTTAAAAGATAAGTGAGTATGAAGGTGGCTGGTACATCAGTGTAATTGAAGCCTATTTATGGTATTTAATAGTTATAATTTCATAATTTAACAATGATATTTATTTTCTTGTTTCCAATAAGAGGAATGCTGTTAAAAGATCAAGAGTGTGAAGGTATCTCAATGCAAGTTATGTATATTTAATCTGTCTTATATGTTATGTAAGGTTCTACTTCACTGGTGTATTATTATGATTATTAAAAGATACTTTGCAGCTGCACTTCTTTATGATCTTAGTCTTCATTTGTTAGTGTCGTTGCATTTTAGCAACATGGGAATTTCTGTAAAATATTCATGCATGACACATGTTTTCTTATTTGCTGGACTCAATTTGAGTAACAATATATCTGCTTCTACACTTAAAAACACTTTAACTTTTTCGCAAAAGTGTAAGAAATAATAAATAAATAGTGTCATCTGGGCTGGCAGGATCATGTGCAGAGTAAGTCCATCAAAATGGGTTAAAAGAAAATCAGGAACCTTCTGAGACGCTGACTGTGTGATATCAGCTCAGAATGACGCATGTGTTTAACACAAGGCAGTATCAGATAGGAAAGATTTCATGAAACTGGCGGGCTGTCTGGCCAGTCACAAGGTGTGTGTGTGTGTGGGTCAGATAACTGTATGTGTTGTTTGCACACTTGCCTCCTCATATAGATGGAGACACAAGTGTGTGAAGGGTGGGATGGGGAAAACAGGAGAAGTTATAAATTCTGCAGAAAACTCCTTTTTTTTAAAAACAATAGATGAATAACAGACACTGCACACAAACCTTTCATCTATATATACACATATAGGTGTATATATAGCATGGATACCTCATATTTTAGTTGGAATGAAGTAATGCTTTACTGAACTTTCCTCAGATCACAAGTTCTCAGGAAAATGGAAGTAGATGGGGGATTCACTCTGGTCACGTATCAAGTTCCTTGTTATAACTCTGCTTTATTTAACCACAGAGGGTACCTCAGGGCAACAATCACTCCTCAGTCATTTGAACTGCCCACTTAATGCTTTACAACACCACAGAAAGCTATGAAGTATACCCCAGCAGGTACAGTATTTGCGATATGCAAAGAACCTTAGACTAGTCACACGTCCTCCCTGTAAAACACTCTTATTTCACCTGAAGTGGAATAACACCAGATAACCTGCACAATTTCAACACCAACACAGGCATTAACGTGCAAACCCCAACAGAACTGGACCGGCCTGGAGAGTGAACACAGGACCTGTTGTAGTGTCTGTCACCACAGATCCACCTGTCATCAATTTACAGCACGTCACTATTGAAATGTGTGGACTTCTGCACAACTGCAATACATTGTCTACATTTTCCAAGTTTCCAAGGCCAAGAAAAAATTATGTTTTAAAAAAAAATATATGATCCTATTGAAACAAGAGATTAAAAACAAGTGCAGTCAACTCACTCAATTCCACCTTTGTTAAAAAATGTACATTGATGTTACATATGATAATCCTTCAGATGGGAGGTAAAACTGTTGAGGGTTACTAAAATATAACATTAGAATGTGTGCAAACCTTTATTACCAAACAAGGTGATTAAAACCTTTAACATGTCCTGTGACCTGAAGAAAAGAAAAGAAAACAATATGTCATATATCACTTATAATTCAGTTTGTGGTGGTCTCTTACCACAACATTGGCACACTTGTTAGGGCTCATTAGAAATCCTCAAGAAAAACAATATTTGTACTCATTGTTCCTTGTAATTCAGCAAACCGTTAGTAACGGCCTTTTCAAATCGTGTGCAAAACACAGGTTTTTCTAGCAAGCAGCCGAAAGTCCCGAGCAGCTTTACTGCAGCAGTAACCGATCCACACTAGAAATTCACAAAAACTATTGAACTTCTATCTTTAACTATAAATGTCTGTATCATTACATTTGTCAGTGTCCATTCTCACTCAGAAAGTCGGTGGCAAAAGGATCGTCCTGTATGCACTCAGAAATATGAACCACCATTACATAAATGTCTTATTTTATTGCAAAATATGGACAGCTTTCCAAAGTAAAAGCCTCAACGATACAATGACACGGACTGTAAAGCGAAACATCTAATCTTTCAATTAATGTGCACCTGTTAAACAATGACCAAGCATGTCCCATGTGTAAAAGCACTGCATTAACATGTTTACAATATGAAGTACGAAAAAAACAACTGTAGAAACGATGTAGAAATATCTTTAATGGATAAGGTGCAGGTTCATTATCATTTAACATGCTTTACATGTTTTGACCCATGGAGGGCAGCATACACCCATGACTGAATACACAGAAGAATGAAGTGCGTCAGAGGTGCTGATGGGTCTCTTTGGACAATATCACATAAAACTCACAGGAAATATTGAGAAATTAAGTGTTAGTATACATTCAACAGAATAAACAGGTATTGATATGCTTTTTTAATTGATTGTGACAGTAGTATGAGTAGTATTAAGACTGACTGATTCACCTCATCTGTACTTCTTAAGAAGTATCTTATCAGTCCTTCTTCAGATAGACTGATAAGATACAGCCTTTAAGCATTTAATCTTGCATAACAGCACTCCCATTTCCTTTTTACCAGAAATACACATCATGAACTGAAGTCAGATGTTTCATATGGTTTCATTGTGCAAATGTAGTGTGCAGAGCATGCACCAACTGTCAATTTTATAATAGGAGTAAAAGGCATCTCAAATGATTGTATTGCTTTTATTACAGCCATCTAGATATAGTTAAATATAAAGCTTTATATCCCTGATAATTCAAAGTTATTGATTTATGGAATTGAAACTTGTAAAGGTTCTACAAGTATCAATATTTGCATGCATTGAGTCATACTGTCTACTACCGCAGACATGGATATTGCTTAGTCAAACTACTGACAGGCTGATTGTTATTTGACTGGTTATCTCATATTATTGCTTCCGATCAAATAAGCTACTTACATCTGCAGTATACATGTTTTCATTTGCATAGTAAAACATGAGTAAGGCATATTATTCAGAGCAAGCGACAAACTGGAAACAACAGATAGTGAAACCATAATCATGCGTCTTCAGAGTTTTCCCAGAGTCTCTGCATAGCGTAGTGTACCGGCCTCACTTACACAAGGTTGTTGTGTCCATATACAAAAAGCGAACATTCATTCTTGATTCAATCTCAAAGCCATTCAGCAACTAAAAAAAAAAAAGGAAGAGTTTTACATTGTTTAAAATGTATATTGCTAAATGTTACCATCCTTTAAAGTGGCAAGGTTGACTTTTTATTTGAATTTGCAAAAACTAAAAATTCTAAACACCCGGATGTACTTTCAAACTAGTTTTGGCAAACATATATTATAGTGTATATTCTGTGCACTAACCTTGAGGAAATGCTCAAATGTGATTCCCTCATAGAACTCATCGGGTTCCTGCGTGTGAAAAAAGTGAAGTTACAAACGAACAGTGAATCAAACCTAATGTTATCTTTAGCTATACCACAGCTCACATACCATGTGACCCATTGAGATACTGGCCACTTCCAACATGGCTGCATCAGCTATGCTTTTGGCTGTGTCCTTCTCCAGCGTCTCGCTGAGAGATAGCAGCTCCTCCACCACCTGCACAGGTGTGAACAACAAGTTGAAATAAAATGATATTACTACAGTGGCTACAAGACTCAAATCTCTGAAGGCTTGAGGGGAAGGAGAGGTTAGTAGACAACTTCCTTCAAAATTCACTTGAGAAGTATAAATGATGCTGATAAAAACAGTCTCCGCTCACGGTATAAACCAACAAGATGGACTCATGCTGATTTCCTCAGACCGTGGTTGGAGGCTGCTGTAATCTTGACTGGTTATGTGACGAGTAAGGTTCAGTAAAAAGGTGCATGAGTTTTGTTCAACACAAGTGAGCAGAGGCTTACGTGTCTGTATTCCTCCAGGGTTATCGTCCCATCGTTGTCCGTGTCATGCATGTTGAATAAAACTGCAGAGGAAAAACACGGCTAATCAGTTCAACAAGGCATGTTTGTCGTCGACAGATAAAGCCAAGCATGCGATCGTGTGATTTGAAGACACTACATCTCAGTTTATCCCTCCGGACGCTCTCCCGCTGCTCCTCTGTCATGTGTAGTGACGGGGGCCTGAAATGGGACATGATCACCAGAAACTCTTCGAAGCCGATCTCCTCAACAGTACCTTCGCCATTCTTCCGAAAGTTTCTGAAGAAATACAAAATGAGCAACTGAGCGGACAGATTTGAATCTTATCTCGCCCCATATTACAAGTTCCAGCAACTTCCAGCCCATCGCCCCTGTACCTTCTGTCAAAGAAGGCCTCTATGATCTGAGAACGGATGGGATTGCATTCAAGATCAGGGATTTTTCTGAAGTGTTCTCTCCTGCGGGTGTAGAGAGGATTTTAAGGAGTGGCATATGGTGTCACACACTGTCATATTATAATCATGGCCACACGTTTCAAGCTATTATGTGCAGGTAAAAAGCCTGTTAGACGGGTTTCCACTTCTAAAGAAAGTGTGTGAGCTGCCAGGCCAATATTCTTTCAGATATAAAACAAATAAAACAGAAACCTGAACGTGTTGCTGAAAAATTCTCATAACACCACACAGTATAAGCAAAATCATACATACAGCAGAGTTTCTTCATTGTGGCTCAACTGCTTGAATCTTTTATGGAGGACTCCAATCTGCTCATATGAAACTGAAAACAGAGAAGAGGGAACCTAAAGTTACTATCTTGTGCATACATAAATAGCCTAAGTTCTCCAAAACCAGTGAGACAGGATATAGGTACTCTTTAAACTCATAACAGTAAAAATGTTGACTTCTAAACAAGTACGTTTGTTGAGAATCTGACGGTAACTTTATTCTCTCACATGTGTGAAGCTTTCAAGGCAGCATATTTGGATATTCATATTCTATGTAAAAATTGTGTTTGGCTGTTGTCTGTCACCTGCAACATAGGCCTCCAAACTCTTCCACGTGAGGCTACATGTCAATTAAAGCAGCTATTGATGCAACTCTCTTAAATCTTTGTGTCAAAGCTTTCAATGTATCTATTATTAAATACACCTCCCTCTGTACACTCGGTGAAGTTTCACTTCCCTCACAATGTAAATTATTCAAGATGCTACCTCTGCACCTCACACACTGGCGTTCCTTAGATGTGCGTAATTACAGGCAAATAGTGACCAGCTCTTTATTTAACGCGTAACACGTTAACATGGTTTCCCCTTTAAGATAAGACCATAAAGTGAGACTGAATTTAAATCATATTTCCGGTGCAGTGAGCTCATGTTTTCACACGTCCTACATGTCTGACTGATGTCTTATTAACGCCAATACAAACAACAACGATGACTACTCACACCCCGTCTTTTCCGCCAGATCAACGTACTCTGGTTGACCCGGTAAGGACTGCAGTGCTCCCATACCTCGAAAAAAAAAAAACGGAAGATCTTCCACCAGTCCGGTTTTTACCGGGACCGGAGACGTGTCAGAAATGAACCGAAAACTGTTGTTATACAACCGGATCTCAGAGCATCATGTCTCGTCCACCTCCTCCTGATTGTGTAGGACAGACCCTGAGCTCACACTTCTTCGTCCCCCTGTGCCATACAGGTCGCAGCTCTCATCCTCTGCAGGCTACTTCCGCGACTACCGTACTGATGACGACACACATTTCGGGACAACAGGCTGCAGCTTGAATTATTGACACAGACTCGTTTATTAATTCAGAGGCCGCGACCACTGACAGTGTTTGTTTGTACTGTACCAGCCAGGGAAGACGGAGAGGATAAAGAAGGTGCACAAGTAGTTCTCAAATATCAAAACACTGGCTCCAGTGGCTGGAAGATGAGATTAGTTTGTCTCACTATGAATTCCGACCAACCCAATTTATTTCTTTAATCCATTTAAACAACCTGTTTTAACTCTTATTTTGCAACAAAACTGAGTCCAATCAAAACGCACAAACAGCCACAAAAGCTTATTTTAAAATTCTGGTCATTTCAAGGATTCTTCCAAAAGTATAAAACATGTCAAGCTGAACTACTGGAAAATACAATATTGTAGGATCTGAAGTGACTTCGATGTGGCCTGATGCTCAACATGACTCAGCAGTGAGCAGCATACACAACATGTCAAGAGTCTCATTAACCATGTGTCTTGGCCCAATGTTTCTCAAATGTCAGAAATCCCACAAACGTGAAATAAAAATCCAGTTAGTTAACTTGAAGAGCTATGTCAGTAATTTGTGCAAACTGTCCAATTTAATCAAACAATATCCAACTGGTGAATCTAAAGTTGTTGTTTCTATTTCTGATCTTGCATGATTGTGTCTTCCTGTTTATTCAAAACTGCAATGTGAAAATGTGTCCAAAACACGATGTGGTGTCTGAAAAGTTCCCATAAATGATCACAACTTGATCACTGCGGTCCTGGCTATGCTTTTCACTCTTAGAAAGCAACTTGTTCAGGCACAAACCACGACTCTACATTAAAATAACAGAAGTGAAACAAGTTACATGCTGAATATATTTTTGATTAAAACTATGCAGTATTAAAGAACACCACAAGGTGGTAGCATTTGGTCAACTATGTAACGTAACACCAGGAAAGAAAGGTCAGTTAATTAACCCTTGAGTACGATTTTTTAATCAGAGCGGCAGTGAAATATATATGGTGTGTGTGTGCATTTAAGTGCCTATATTTCAAACTGTGTTTACTCGAGGGTATAGCATCTATGGATTATCTTTACATTAATTGTGTTGAATATGTTATTTAACCACACTTATTTTCAGTATTCTTTACCACCAAATGATACACCGTCATGTCTCTTTCACCATCATTGTGACGGTCTTTATTGAATTGTAAAACGCTGATCCCAACCTGTCACACTTTGCAGCTGTTTCCAAAGCTGTCGAGCTCCACCGTCTGTGCCTGTTGCATCCTCCAGTCATGAGCAATTAGCTGTCACTGCTAATAGTGAATCAACAGGCATGGTAAGGACAACAGCAACACAATTGAACTGCTTGGAGAAGAAACATCTTATCCTGCTATTTTACCCCACTCATCTCCATGTTTACATTCCTCTTAAAGTCAGATGTGTATTATGATCCTGTACAATACTGTATTCACACTCGGGGATTGTCGAGACATTGTTACTTTTTAAGCTTAAGAATAAGCTTATAAACTATTAGGATATCTGAAAGCCCCATTATGACACTAATCAATAAATAAATAAATGAAGGAGCAGTAAGTGAGCAGCGCTGCATTGTGTTATTGTGAGGTTACTAGAACTCTTGATACTTGTTACGATACATCTTGGTTTATCAGAGTCCCCCTTCAAGATAACCTCATCAACTTGTGAGAGCTCTTTATCATCTCTGTGCCATATTATGACAGTGATACAATGCAAACTGTGTCATAACATTTGTCCTTGCACTGTATAGTTAACGATGGCAATAATGTGTTCTATTGTTTAACCTCCTCAACACGCTGTCATACCCAGAGACTCAGAGACCCATTACTGCTGTGCTGGAACACTTTCTTTGCCACGTGCTTTCTGTGATTAAACGTTACTTCCTTTCGGAATATGCAACACATGAGCACAATATAAACTTAAACAAAGTCTTATGTTTTGAAACGGGGCCCATCTGCAAGACACAGACTCTAGATTGGGATATAGCACTTGCCTTGGTTGATATCGTACTTTGGTGGTAAAATTCTAATTACAATCAATTCAAGCAACAAACAATACTTTTTTTTTGCTCACTTTGGTGTCAAATTGGTTGATCCAGCTTTGCACAATTGTGCACAATAAAACAACTATCAACAATGTTTAATGTGTTCAAGCACAAACAACCAAGCAGTAAACTACATGCACAACGTCGAAGATCATATTCTTTATGACATATTGTAGTATTACAATTTAGATTTGGTCTGTTTTTTGAAAAAACTATGGCACTTAGAATATATGAGTAACCCATCAATTAAAAGTTAAGGCCCCTGAAATACTTTAAATATTTGTAAGGCCTGATAAAGGAGTATCTTTATGTTAGAAAGAGGTCGACCAAATCAGAACGTGTTCAAATATTTTCCCTTGCCATGGGAATTCATGCATCGAGTAGTAAACAATCAATCTAGGCCCAAAAAACAACAACAACACCAACAATACATATTGTTTTACTTAGCAGTCTCTGCCCTTGAAATGTGATTTCCCTTAAAATTGTCTCACTTGCATGTGTGTTGTTGTGTGTTTGTGTGCGTTGTCACTATTACTGAGCGCACAACGTTGGATGGCTTGAAATTGATTTGAATGAAGACTCCGCTCCGGAGAGAGGGGGAGAAAACAAGGAGGTGTCGGTTATATAGGGAGACAAAAAGGGGCGGAAAAGCGTGGCCAAGGAGAGAGAGGGCAGCCTGAGCCTGTTTTGCATGCACGGGGGGGCTTCGGTGGGAGAAGGAGTTGACAGGGCGCCGCAGTGCTGCCTCCAGCTCTCAGACAACAGCTGCTCAGAAGGAGGAGACGTCCTCAGGGTGCTGCGACATGTCTCGCTCTTTCTCCATCTCTCTTTTCACCTGTCTGCCTCTTCCTTTCACCGAACAGACGTACGCTAGACACATGCCTTCTCCACTTTCTTACCCATGTCTTTTTCTCAATGACACACTCACACACGCACACAACACACGCGTCGGGGGATGAGATTCATAAGAAATTGGCATGCTGCCTGTACTCAAACAAAACACTCAAAATAAACCAGGTGAATCTGAATTTTTGATGGAACCTGTTGTTTGTTCTGCTTACTTGAAAGGATGTTTATGAAGATTAATTATCAGCAGTTTAATAGAAATTAAATATTCCTCCTCTTCAGTTTTCTGAGCCGCTGATGACAGAAATTCAAGCAGACAAGCCTTTGTATTAACATCAAACGCCTATTTTAATTTTTTTGCATTGATGTAATTTGGTTACTTTATGAATTTGTGATAGCTTTTGATCCATTTCCTTATGCAAAGAATAGAAAACCATTTTCTGCTGAGCGATTTTATCCACATCCCGAGAACCACACACCACAATATTTGTATTTTTATTTTCACCACATGAGAGAATGATGCCTTTATATCTCACAATAACACGGTGAGATTGTTTGATGTGACAGCTCACATAATTTAAGACTGATGAAACCTTTTCCTTTCCCAGACAGAAGCTCATTAGAGAAATAATCTTTGGCAACAAGTCCCTCTATTTAGCATTCATACGCAGTACATAAACATTTGATAAATGGTTTACACCACATATGACGTAGTTGTAAGCCGATAGGTATTAATTTAAATGTCAATATATGTCCTTCTGTGGGCACCTATTAGCGGGGGCTATAATGTAGGAGGATATATTAAAACACATGATGATATAGAAAATATCCTGATAGGAGAATTCATATTTTGACATTTCCTGTACATTAATAGGCACCTTAACATGTCGTTGTAGCTGCATACAACTACATTATAGTGTGTTGTAAACATTAATTAAATGTTTGTATGCTGCTTATAAATACCAGATACAACAACCTGTGTTACATCCAAAGTTTTCTCTTATAAGCTTCAGAGAAGCTTTAATTTCACATTAATATAAATGAATTCATAGAAATGATTGCATGACAGATTTATGAATGGTCACAAAGGCATGCTATAGTACATTAATCTAAATGGATCTGAAATAAGACTCAGAAACCAGCTTTTGTTTGGTTCTTATTAATTACTTTCATAACTTCAGAGGCGACCCAGTTCTAAAATCAAAACATCCGGACTGAGTGTTGAAAATTGAGTGAGAGTTAATACCGAAAATAATACTGAAAAAAATAGCGAAAAAAGAAAAAAACATTTCACGAACAAAGACTTTGTGTGAATAGCAATGACAAGGACTGTATTGTCATCTTTATCTTTTTACTCGGAAAGTTATTTCGCAGCCTTCTATCAGTCAACGTTTGAATTATATAGCACACAAAAGGAGATAAAGGTGTGTCTTTTTACGTTTTGCCCTTGGTTTGTCAACATAAAAAAGGAGAAGCGATTGCAGAGGCGTGGACGGGGCATGCTCTGATCCCCAGACAGAAAGAAATCAATTTCAGAGAACAAGCAATTCAGAGACTGCCAAAGACGAAACTAAGTTACATTGTGAGACAGTGAGGTTGTAGAAAGGTCAGTGAAGTTTTAGAAACATAAAAGTCATTATTTCATGATCAGGAAGACTTAATTAGGATTAAGAAAAAAATCCATAAAAGCTATCTAGTTTCAAGTGATGGCAAAATAGTCTCTTCCTCGACAACTTGCTCCAGCTCCTAAGGGGGGAACCCTCAGCTCACCCCGAGCCAGATGGGAGATTTAATACCTCAAGTGTGTCCTGGGTCTGTTCTGGAGTGTCTTCCCGCTTGGTCATGCCTGAGAACACGTCCAAACAGAACCAGGCATTTTTCATGAGATGCCCGAACCACTTAAGCTGGCTCCTCACAGTGCAGAGGAGCAGTAGTTCAATGTCGAGGAATCATTGAGCTCTCTCTAGAGGGAGACCAGCCACCCAGCAGAGAAACCTCACTGTATCTGCAATCTCTTTCTTTCTGTCACTAGTCAAAGCTTGTGAGGGCTGACTG